GGTCACCAGGTACTGCTCCAGGGCGGGCTGGATCCCCTTTCTCATCTCTCGCTCCTGCTCTTTTTATTGCTATAGTATATTAATGTATTTTTTCAATTTCTTTATTATTTGCAGTCGGAGTTTCCAAGTCTCTCCTCCTTCTCTCCTCCCCGCCCGGCGCTTCCGAGCCCCTTCTCTCTCTTTTCTTTTTATTTTCGGCACCGCACGGGCCCCGGGGGCCAAAAATAATCGGGGCTCTGGAGAGAGGAGGGTCCCGGCCGCACGGATATCGGGCCCCGAGGGGGGATGGAGGCGTCGGGGGCGGCCGATGCAACGGATTGCGAGGCGGCGGCGGCAGCCCGGGCGCTGCGGCCGGCAGCTGAAAAATGGCTCCAGGAAGCTGCTGCTGACAATGAATGAAGGGATACGGTTTACGCGCCAAGGTCCTCCCGCGAAACTCAGATTTCCCGCCGGCTTTTCAAACCATATTTGCATATCCCCGCCCCTCAGCCCGCCGAGGACCGTTCCCACAGCCCATTGGGCCTCTAGCGCCTACTTTAGTCCCAATCGTAGAGCAGGACCACGACTTTATGGTTTCCATTGGCTGCCGGGCATCATGGTTGCCCGGGCGACAGGGGCTTCATTTGCATAGGCCGCTTTGACTGGCTGGAAGGGAGCAGGGGTTTTAGAAGGTGGGGCAAAGCTTTTCCTTCTCTCCCACGGAAGACCACGCCTGGCACCGGCTCCTCCCGAGTCCCCGCCCACCAGCCGGATGGGCGCTGCTGACCTGGGCAGGGACTCCGCGCCCCGCAGACTCAGTGTCGCTAATCTGGAGCGCAAGTTTCGCTTTTGGAAATCATCAAGGTGACTGAGGGGACACCTTCGGGAACTCTTTCCTTTTCACCAGTCAGTGTAATAGATGAAGAACAACCGAAGATTTTCCCAAATGTGTGCCAAAGGCAAGTTGTACCATGCGGACGATGCCTGGCAGGTGGAAACTGAGCCCTTTAAATCATGGGTTTCTCCCTCCCTGAATCCAACCAATGCCAGGGCGAGAGCTGATCCGGAGGCCGAGGCTGATAGACAGAAGCATGTGGGCAGGCAGAATCGTGGTGGCGGAAGGCTGGCGTGACGTGATAGCGGGCAACATTTAGTTAACATTCTAGATCGTTCCTGGTAGCTTCATTACTAGCCTGGGTTGGATTTAAGTAAAAATTAACTCAATGTTTTGTCCAGTGAAATATCACCACCGGTATTGGTCTGAATCTAGCAAACACCCCACACTGGCCCAGAGGCACCCAGGGCAAGTTAATCAGGGCTAACCTAGGACTGATCTGCGGGTTTCTAATCCTCCAAGCAGTAATCTGAAATACACATTTCACCACGACGTGTTGCTCCCAGCCAAACCTGCTGCACCTCCGGGCACCAGCACTTCACAATCTCCGTTTCCTAGCAAGTTCTCTGACTAAAAGCAAACAAGACCCAAACCTATTTCGAAATATTAAAAAAAAAAATTTTTTTTAGTAAACTAGAAATTGTCACTAGAAAAACACTACATTGTCAAATGACGTCTGTATTGGTGCAAGTACTCATGGGTCCTAAAACTGAAGAATGCTCTGTGAGACTGAGCAGGGAAAGGAACCCCTGGAGGAATGCAGGTTATGATGTATGTGTTAAGTCATATAGGGTTCCAGTCACTGAGAGCCGTACAAAATAGCTGCTGAGCTGGTGTTCACTGAGTGATGAGGATTGCAATACCTCAAGCCCTTTCCCAAGACTACTAATATTATTATTATTATTAATTTTCAAAAACTCATATATTCAGTCTTATGAAAGGCCTGAAAAGATGTGTCAGTTCAGGCTCAAACTCCTTAATATTCCAGTCTTATTACCTTGTCTGAAACAATGAGCTAAACAACGTACTGTTAAATCTTGCACCAAGAGGAATATTTTGGTCTTGCATTCAAGCTAGTGAGGATCCATGGCCTAGTACCCAAACATTTATTGACCCAAATATTTATCATAGATAGAACTGACATTTTCTTTAGGGCAGATTAGGTGGTATATCAATTCCTGGTTGGGACAGAGGCTAATGTGTTACCAACTTCCTTGATATTGTTTCTTCAATGTTGCTTTCTACTGTAGGTCACTATGGAGAAAACTAGTACTGTAATTGGATTTTACCACCTGCAAAACATCACTAGTAGCATTCATTTGGTGGTGGTGGTGGTGGTGAGGGTTGTGGGTGGAGGGTGCTACTATATACAGTCATTATAGACCTGCATCTTCAGATTAGAGACAAACCTAGGACTTGGGACTGTGCAAGATCCCTGCTAGAGCTTCCATGAGGGACACAGCCACAGGGAAGCAAGTGTTCACAGTCCAAATCCACACCTGTGATTCTGGTTTAGAAAGCTTTGAAATAGTTACCATTCTACCTTACCCAAGCTATATTCTTTTCTTTTTTAAAAAAATATATCTTTATTGATTTCAGAGAGAGGAAGGGAGAGGGAGAGAGAGATAGAAACATCAATGATGAGAGTCGTTGATCGGCTGCAGCCCGCAACCTGGGCATGTGCCCTGACCGGGAATTGAACCTTGATCGCCTGGATCCTAGGTCGATGCTCAGCCGCTGAGCCACGCCTGGCTGGGCCCAAGCTATATTCTTTAATGTAGGATATTTGGCAGAGAAACAGATGTTTTGACCTTTCATGTCTAGTGAACCCCAGGATAAGAAGGCGGAGGGAAGTGTTCAAAGAGAGAAGAGGAGGTGTTGGAATACAAGATGCCAAAATGTGATGTACGCTATTAATTTATGGAGAGGTAGCATGCTTTAGTAGAAAGAAAATGGGCTTTGGAGCCAGAGTAATCTGGGTTTAAATTCTGGCTGTGCCACCTATGAGCTGTATAACTTTAATCTTTAAATCCTGTTTTCTCATGTTAAATGGGAACCCATATTGCAGTAACCATATGGAAAGGTTATGATGAAAAGAGGCAATAATAAATGCAAAGTGCCAGGCATGTAACAGGTGCTCACTAGGTGGCAGCTATTTATGATTCTACTTATTTGTGTGGTTGTGCTTTGCATCTCTTTGTAGTCCAATCTGACTCCTAGCCTCTAATCTTCCTACTGCCCCTGGATATCCACTTGCTGTGGCAGCTTAGTTTTGTCCGAGTAGGAGCACAGCCATGTCCTGGTTAGTAGGGATTACAGAATCCTGACTCGGAAGTTTAGGGTAATAAAATAAAGTCAGCTCTGCTGCTCTTGCACTCTAACCTGTTCATCTGTTGTTAGTGGCCAGCTTCTGGATGGTTCCTAAGTCTGAGCCCTCTTGACCTTCCCTTAAAGGTTAGGCTGTTCCAGCACTAAAGCCAGAATGTTCTTGCCAATCACTACTCCCCTTTCCCTTGCTCTGACAGTGGCCCAAGGCAGATAGCTGGCTTGTGTAGTTGGTTGAATGGTGCCTCCACCCCCCCAAATACAACTAAATCTTAATCTCCAGAATCTGTGATTATGACCTTATTTAGAAAAAGGGTCTTTGCTGGTATAATTAAGAATCTCTAGATAAAATCATTCCAGATTATCTATATCCAATGAAAAGATAAAATATACTGGATGGAAAAGAAAGGTATTATCTCAAAAGTGTGTGTTTCCTTGCCTTTTTGAAACAGATCTTTATGGTAAAAAAAATAAATAA